AGCCATTTCATATATTTTTCCACATCGTACTGACAGAACTGTAATGACGTCTGGGCGTCTGGGTCTGTGATATGTTGTCTCTGTGTCCAGGGTCAACAATGTGTTAAATCCAAGTATGAGGAGACAGGAAAAACTAGAAAGCAATTGAAAAATGCAGCAATCCATGAAAAAAAAAAGCATGTCAAAAAGCATGTCAAACCAAAATTGCCATAAATAATAAAATGAGGAAAGCAGCAGGGGCTTGGGTTGAATGTAAGAGAGCAGAAATAAAACTGACCTTTTACCTCAAAACTCTCTATTGTAAATTACCATTCTGTAATGTTATATGTACAAATTTTAAAAGGCTGATATCTGAGCTGATAAAGGGAATATTTCAAAGTTGTCCATGGCATTTTCTATCATACCAACAATGACATGACATGCACAAGCTATGGCAGCACTGTTAAAAATTGTGAAAAAACAGAAATATTCCGGCAGCTGGGGCGCCAGAAAAATACCATAAAATAACAGTAAATAACCCACTCGTAAAAATACGGTAATATTCCAAAATGACAATACAGTCTGTAACTTTCATTTTACATAAAATCTTGTGCAATTTTGGGGGCTTTTATTGTTTAATTAAGAACATATACACCTGTAAAAACAACCAACTTCTTCTAGAAGCGCATTTGTGAGGTCAGGGACAGATGTTGGATGAGAAGGCCCGGCTCGCAGTCTCCGCTCTAATTCATCCCAAAGGTGTTCTGTCGGGTTGGGGTCAGGACTGTACAGACCAGTCAAGTTCTCCACACCAAACTCGCTCATCCATGTCTTTGTGGACCTTGCTTTGTGCACTGGTGCGCAGTCATGTTGGAACAGGAAGGGGCCATTCCCAAACTGTTTCCACAACGTTGGGAGCATGAAATTGTCCAAAATGTTTTGGTATGCTGAAGCATTAACAGTTCCTTTCACTGGAACTAAGGGGCCAAGCCCAACCCCTGAAAAACACTCCCACACCAAACTTTACACACTTGGCACAATGCAGTCAGGCCAGTGCCATTCTCTTGGTAACCGCCAAACCTAGCCTTATCCATCAGATTGCCAGACAGAGAAGCGTGATCACGTCTCCACTGCACTAGTGTTTAGTGGCGGCGTGCTTTTAACCATGTATCCGACGCTTTGCATTATACTTGGTGATGTAAGGCTTGGATGCACCTGCTCGGCCATGGAAACCCATTCTATGAAGCTCTCTACGCACTGTTCTAGAGCTAATCTGAAGGCCACACGACGTTTGGAGGTCTGTAGCTCTGTAGCTCTTGACTCTGCAGAAAGTTGGCAGCTTCTGCAGATGCGCTGACCACGCTTTGTGACAGCTGAATCCCAGCTGACATCGGGTGAAAGGCGGGGTACACCCTGGACAGGTCGCCAGTCCATCGCAGGGCCAAATCGCTTCCACTTAGTCATAATACCACTAACAGTTGACCTTGGAATATTTAGTAGTAAGGAAATTTCACAAATGGACTTATTGCACAGGTACCAAGCTTGAATTCACTGAGCTCCTGAGAGTGACCCATTTTTTCACAAATGTTTGTAGAAGCAGTCCACATGCCTAGGTGCTTGATTTTATACACCTGTGGCCATGGAAGTGATTGGAACATCTGAATTCAATGATTCCGAAGGGGTGTCCCGATACTTTTGGCAATATAGTGTATACTGTCAGATCACACAGCCCTATTTATCAATGCAGTTATATTGTAAATAAAACGCTGTCAAGTTTTTTGGATGTAAGGAACGGCAAGCTTGTGTAGATCATCTGCCTTTTGCTTATTGCTCATACTTAATGGAAGAGCTAGTGGTGGAGGGGGAGTGGATATCTGCTCTGTCATTTTTACAGCCATGTAGCCACCAGACTTGTATTCTTCACCAATTCTGTGGAGAGGGGTATTGACTAACACATCTCCAGAATTTGGTCACTGTTCTGTATTGTTAATTGTTGTTTCCCCCCAGTGGTACACTAAAGAAATTACAGTCACGCTCGTTCTGCGTCTTCTTTTGATGATGTCATCAGGGAGCGCTCAGTAATATCTTCCGACAGCTGTGTCTCGTATTGGTGTATCAATCTCCTTTGGAAAGTCTTTCTGCTCACGTTCATACTATAAACGATCATCGTCGGTATGTAATGTTCTTTAACGTCATCTCTCTATGCATAGGAATATTATCATGAGACGTATGTTGTTATATTGTTGTATAGATTTTCGGGGGTTTTCTTCACCCCGCTGCAGTATAATCAGAATAGTCTGAGCTAAGTTATGTCTCAAGTAAACCTTTAAATAGTCATTTCATTGTGTAAAATAGCAATTTATTTGTACTAGTGTTACAACCCAGCTCGTTAGGGTAGGGCAGTAACAAGGTATTAGGGATAGATGAAGGTGGTAAGGACAACTGAATTCAGGTTTGAGTTTGTGACACTACCTCCTTTTGTTTCTGTTTTTTTTGTCAGTACCTACATAGCCTCCTTTCGTTGTGTTTTTTCTGAGACAAATCATTTAATTAAACAATTGACTCAAACCTGAATTCAGTTGTCCTTACCACCTTCATCTATCCCAAATACCTTGTTACTGCCCTACCCTAACGAGCTGGGTTGTAACAAAAGTGGGGGCTCGTCCGGGATTTGCATACCATTCAGAGAACTCCAGAACACAACTATTACTCTAAGGCAGCCAGCGGCGGCCGTAACACTCCCCCCCTTAAATTACAAGCCCCTGTGGCTTGGCGATAAGGCTACTTAACACATAGCTAACCTCTACAGTCTAGACAAAGCATCAGCTAGCACATTTTCAGACCCCTTCTTATGTCGGATGTCGAGGTTGAAGTCCTGAACCACCAGTGCCCATCGCATGAGTCGCTGGTTGTGGTTGAACATGCGAGACAGAAAAACAAGGGGATTATGATCAGTGAACACAACAACAGGCAGAGAAGTTGACCCAACATAGACCTCAAAGTGCTGTAGTGCTAACAACAGAGCAAGGGATTCCTTTTCAATGGTGGAATAATTTATCTGGTGTCGGTTGAACTTGCGGGAAAAGTAAGCAACAGGATGGTCAATACCATCCTCCCCTTCCTGTAACAGGACAGCACCAGCGCCCACTGCACTGGCGTCTACCTCAAGCTTGAAGGGAGCGGTAAAGTCAGGGGCAACGAGCACGGGAGTGTGACATAACAAGGTCTTTACACTATCAAATGCTACCTGGCATTCTGGGGTCCATACGTAATCCACCTTGGTGCTGAGTAAACTTGTGAGTGGGGAGGCGATACTGGAGAAGTTGCGGCAGTACCTCCTGTAGTATCCAGCCATCCCTAGAAACTGGCGCAGTGCTTTCCGGGTCGCGGGAACAGGGCAGTCCCTGAAGGCAACAACCTTGGCCTCAACAGGGCGCACTTGTCCCTGCCCAACCTGCTGTCCAAGATAGGTGGCGGTCAAAAACCTGCTCTAATACGCACATGTGCTTCTCCCATGTGTCTGCATAAACGATTAAGTCATCAAGGTACGCATTGCAGTTTGGCAAACCAGATAATACAATGTTAACTAACCTCTGGAATGTTGCAGGAGCGTTACACATTCCAAACGCCATCACATTGTATTGACAGAAATGATCGGGAGTGACGAATGCGGAGATTTCTCTGGCACGGTCCGTTAAAGGTACCTGCCAATAACCTTTCTAACTTGCTAACGAATTTTGCGGTGCCCAGGTTATCAATACAATCCTCCATGCGCGGGAGAGGGTACGAGTCTCTGACAGTAACCGCATTTACTTTGTGGAACCGAGGGGAGCCATCGGATTTAGCTTCTAGTAAGCACGGAGAACTCCACGGACTGGAACTAGTGGAAGCTATCCCATTTTGCAAGAGGTACTCTATCTCCTGTTTCATCAAGTGACGTTTAGTTTGATTGGCACGGTAAGCATGTTGTTTTATAGGGCGCGCATCTTTTACCTCTATGTCATGTTGTAAAACAGACGTGCGGGTTGGAATATCACTGAATAGACAATTGTACCGGCCGATGAGGCCTTCAAGATCATGTTGCTGTTCAGTAGTTAAATGCTGCAAATGACATGGCAGGTGTTCAAGCATTTCTGAATTTGGGAGGCGGACAGGCGGATGTAAAGAAACGCGCATCTGTGGATCATCTCCGTGGAGAGTGCCCACAGGCTCTGTCACAATGATGGCAGCGGCTTTGGCTTCTGATGGGTTTGCTGCCGAGGGTGAGGGACCATCAGGGCTAACCTTTTCCTCGCAGGACTGGTAGCCTTTTAACAGGTTTATGTGACAGACTCTAGTTTTGCGCCTTCTGTCCGGGGTACAGAGTACATAATCAGTGTCACTAAGACGCTCCTTAATGACATACGGACCGGAGAATTTAGCTGTGAAGACTGAGCTGGTGGTGGGCAGTAGCACCAAAACTTTATCTCCCACCTCAAACCTGCGGGATGTGGCAAAACGATCATAATAGCGCTTCATAGCTGATTGAGAATCACGGAGGGTGGCTCTAGCGAGGGCGTTGACTCGTTGCAGACGCTCCTGGAACTGGGTAACGTAGTCTAACGCATGCTTTTTGGGCAAAGACTCACATGACAGGAACTGGTCATGCAGCGACTTAAGCGGCCCACGGGGTGTGTGGCCAAAAACAAGCTGTGCAGGACTAAAGCCAATAGACTCCTGCACAGCATCACGAGCCGCAAATAGGACAAAGGGGACTCCCTCGTCCCACTGTTTCTCTGTCTCCACACAGTATTTTCTGAGCATCGACTTTAGCGTCTGATGCCAGCGTTCTAAGCGAACTGGGGGTGATACGCCGAGGACACAATGTGATGCACACTCAAACTCTTGAGTACCTGTCTGAAGAGACCAGACTTAAAATTAGAGCCCTGGTCGGTCTGGATCACCCGCGGCAATCCAAAAGTAGAGAAAAACTTCAGTAAAACTTTTACAACGGCACTAGCCGTTATCGACCAGAGCGGAATAGCCTCTGGGTAACGAGTGGCGGCGCACATAATAGTCAATAAATACTGATTACCACTTTTAGTTCGAGGTAGAGGGCCAACACAGTCGATAATCACCCGCTCAAAGGGCTCTGCTATCACAGGAATGGGATTTAAAGGCGCGGGGGGGACAGTCTGATTAGGTTTCCCGACAACCTGACACACATGGCACGCACGGCAATGTTTAGAAACATCAGACTTTAGACCTGGCCAATAGAAATGACGGAGGATGGCTTGGTATGTTTTGGTTATGCCCAAATGTCCTGCCCACTTACTCTCATGAGCCACTGACATCACCTGTTGGCGGCACCCGGCAGGAACAACTATCTGATAAACAGAGTCACAGTCAGAATCACCAGTTACGAAGGAAGCCCATTTACGTAACAGCATCTCACCATCCATAACATATGCTACTTTCTCACCCCTTGCTTTGTCATTACTCACCACCTTGGAAAAGCACCCTTTTAGGGTCGGGTCTGCTTTCTGCATCTGGCTCAAGCGCGCTCGGTTGACTGGAAATGCCGCTCCTCCAGCGGACGGCAGTTCCGGGCCAGCCGGGGGCCTTTGATTAGCAGACTCGTCCTGGGTTGGTAATACGGAGCTCTCAACCTCTTTCTCGCTTTCTGTGTCACCTGAAAAAAGCGACAGGAACAAACTGTCACGCAATGATGCTTCATAGTCATCGGGGCTAATGTCATGGGAGCGTGCACAAGTTACAGCGCAGGCGGGAAACACATTCGGGGGGGTCTGATCTGAGATCTGGATCCCATCGCACTGAGGGCGATCCAGAACTTATAATGTGGGAGTTACCTTACCTCCCGCAATATCGTTCCCCATCAGGAGCATGATACCAGGGATTGGCAGTTCAGTACAAACCGCTACTGGGAAGAAACCAGTAGCCAGGGAGGACTGAATATGGACGCGGTGCACTGGCCGTGGCACGTAACCCATCTCAACTCCCCTAAGAACAGAACTGTAGTGACAGGCAGAGCTATCAGAGAAAGGCAAAACTGAAGAAAGGATTACAGATTGTGAACATGCAGTATCTCTCAAAGCACATATTGGGCGTTTATCAGCTGACTCTCCAGTCAGTGACACAAAGGCATCAAACATGAATGGCTTAAAACAGTCATCAAGTTTCTGGTCAGACAAGTAAGTGTTCACACCACGATCTGCCTTAATCAGTCCTACCCCTTTTGGTTGAACAGAGCGTGAGGACTGCTCTCTGCGTTTTAGTGTCAAGCAATTTGCAATGACATGGCCAACTTGGTGACAGTAATAGCATTCCCGTTCCTCTTTAAGCCCACGTGGTTTTGATGGTCTAAGAGGAGAAGGGGGACGCGAAACAGCAGAGACTGGAGGAAAAACAGACTTATGAGTTAACACATACTCATCTGCCAGAACAGCAGCAGCAGAAAGTGTGCTCACTTTCTGTTCATTCAAGTATACAACAATACGCTCAGATAAACAGTTCTTGAAATCCTCTAGCAGGATCAGTTCTCTCCAGGCATTGACATCATTTACCTTACATGTTGCGCACCATTTATCAAATAGAGTTCCCTTCTCACGGGCAAACTCAACATAGGTCTGAGTAGGGGTTTTTTTGTGACCTCGAAACTTCTGTCGGTACGCTTCAGGCACAAGTTCATAGGCATGTAAGATAGCTGTCTTAACGGTTTCGTAATCTAAGCTATCTTTAACGGGGAGTGCGGCCATGGCATCCTGAGCTTTACCATGCATTTTACACTGAAGCAGAAGTGTCCATACTTCACATGGCCATTGTAAGGCAGCCGCAATCCTTTCAAATACATTGAAATAGGAGTCAACTTCATTATCCCGAAATACAGGTACCAGAGCCTAATACTTACTGATATCAAACACTATGTTGGGGGAGCTGGTGGAAGTGGTGGAAGGTGGTGACATACCTGAGCCTCTAGGAGCACTCCGTCCTGTATCAGAAGTCTCAAGCTCGAGCTGTCTCAGTCTCACTGCCCTCTCAGTCTCAGCCTGCAGTTCAATCTTCCTCATTTCCAACTGGAGCTGGAGCTGGGCTTGCGCCTCCCGCTCATGAGCTTCCAGCTGCAGCCGAGCCAGGCGGACCTTTAACCTGGCCTCAGTATGGCCAGTACTGCTTGGTGGGGAAGGGTCATACTTAGGCAGAGTAAACGGGGTCTTTGCTCGCTCCCCTGCCTTGTAGACTTTCCCAGAGCCTGAGGGCGTCTCAGCGTCTCAGTACTCGGGCCATCCCCTGCTTCTGCTGAGGAACTGGGGAGAGACACAGACTCCAACTGCTCTGTCACACTAATCAAACCTTGTTCCTCCAATCCACCAATCACCCGTTCCCTAATTTCTTTTTTAAGCATGGACCTGATAACAGGAATGTTGAAGTGAGTCGCTATCTCCACTAAATCATCCTTTCACTAACACTAGTATTGTTTAAAACATGTGATCAGTCTCAATGTGAAGATTCAGTACCCATTTATATATATCTTTGGTTTCAGTTTTACCCTACTTCTGGTCATCATTAAAGAAGTAAACGATTCACCTTCGTCCTGTGTGGTGACTAGAGGAGGAGTTAAACTGTCTGTCAATTTACACAAAGGGTTGTAACAAGGACGGAACAGTAAAACGACGCTTCATAGACGAGCTGACCTACAGCAGACTGGACCCTTCACGCTATACCGCTGAAATAAAGGTAGCCAACACACACAATGTTCCAAGAGGACGCTCAATCAATCGACTCATGGAAGACAAGACTCAAGCTTCCCGCACATCCAGCCGCTCTAGCAGATCAAATGTAGCCGCAGCCATGGCACGCGCAGAAGCGGAAGCAGCCAGAGCTAAGGTAGCATACGCTGAAAAAGAGACGCAAATTAAGATTCAAAAAGCACAATTGGAAGCATCACTGGAGAAACTGAATGTAGAAAAGACAGCAGCTGCGGCCTTAGCTAAAGCAGAGGCTTTGGAGGCTGCTTTAGAGTATGAAAATGATGAGCATGGCTCTAAGCTAAGGGGTGGATCAGAGCAGCGATCTCACAACGCCATGCAAATGACTGAAGAGTATGTACAAAAACATAGTGTACTGGACCAGTCTAAAGCCAGGGGCGCAACTACAGGGTTCCCCCACTACCACCCAACCTCAGCCAACACCGCAAGCACCTACATCACTCACTTATCAACCCACACAGATTAAGCCTGAAAGGAATGAAGACCCACAGATTGAACCACAACGTTCTCCAAAATGTTCTTCCATGATAAGCCAGAACCCTGCACGCACACTAATAGGAGAAGGAAAACACACTGAGCACCCGGGTCACAGAATTTACGACAGCTATTACCTGCCATTAGCCACACCTATGAGTAACCACCAACAAGCATATCAAGAGGCTCATATAGGGGCTTATGACGGCCGGCACTACCCACCTAGTAGGTTTGTCCATAGAGAACAACGAGACAACGAGGTGCCCAGAGGTTCATCTAACGAGAATAAAAATGTGACCGACTTTGTAAGCTTCCTTGCCAGACGAGAAATTGTTTCAACAGGACTGTTTGATGTTCGATGATAGGCCTGGAAATTACAGGGCATGGAGGGCGTCTTTCCTGAACACTGTCAAAGGCCTTAATCTGACCGCAAAGGAAGAAATAGACTTGTTAGTAAAATGGCTAGGACCAGAATCAGCAGAACATGCGAAACGCTTGAGAGCTGTACACGTCAACGACCCAGAAAAAGGGCTGTTAATCGTGTGGGAGAGACTAGAAGAGTGCTACGGCGCGCGCAAAGTCATTGAGGACGCACTATGGAGGAGATTAGATAACTTTCCTAGGATTTCAAATAAAGACAATCAGAAACTCAGAGAGCTGGCAGACTTGTTGACGGAGCTACAAGCTGTAAAATCAGAAGGTGAACTCCCAGGCCTAGCATATCTAGACACAGCACGCGGCATAAGCAGCATCGTACAGAAGTTACCGTTTGCTTTGCAAGAAAGATGGATGACACAAGGCTCCAGCTACAAAGACAGCTACAGAGTTGCCTTCCCTCCATTCTCTTTCTTTGTCAACTTTGTCTCCCAGCAAGCAAGGACACGCAACGACCTAAGTTTCATTTACGTTCCTTGTACTGGAGATCAGCCCAAGACAGACAAATATACTCATAAAAACACGAGCTACCGTACACCTGTGTCAGTCCATAAGACTGACATCTCACCAACCATAGTTACACCAACCGACCCTACACCCCCCAAGATAGAAAATCCAGCGAAGACATGTCCTATTCATAAGAAGCCCCACCCCCTTTACAAATGCCGTGCGTTCAGAGAGAGAACCCTCGAAGAGAGAAAAGCCTTTCTAAAACAAAGTGGCATTTGTTTCCATTGCTGTTCATCAACATCTCATCTCGCAAAGAACTGTGCAACGAACGTTAGATGCACCGAGTGTGACGACGACAGACACCATTCGGTTCTACACCCGGGGCCCGCTCCATGGTCCATCAAGACCCTGAAACCTACACACGAGCATGGCGGGGAGGATGAGAGTGTCGGTCCAAACGTTGCAGTGACATCAAAGTGTACAGAAGTTTGTGGCGGAGACACGACTGGAAGATCCTGTTCTAAGATTTGTTTGGTCAAGGTTTTCCCTACCGGCCAACCGGATAAAGCAGTCAAGTTGTACGCCATATTGGACGAACAAAGTAATCGGTCCCTGGTAAGGTCAGAATTCTTCGAACTCTTCAACGTTAAAGGTAGCAGAGAAGTCAGGGAGAAGAGCGCACGGCTTCCAGGTACAATCTTTGGATGAATAAGTCACTCTCACCCTCCCTACTCTGATAGAGTGCAATCAAATTCCCAATAACCGATCTGAAATTCCCACTCCAGAGGTAGCTGTTCAACACCCGCACCTAAAAGGTATCGCAAAACATATACCAACTCTACATTCCCAGGCACCCATAATGTTGCTGCTCGGCAGAGACCTCATCAGAGTCCATAAAGTGCATAAACAAATTAATGGCCCGCACAACTCTCTCCATACGCGCAAAGGCTCGACTTGGGCTGGGTTATAGTGGGCAGTGTCTGCCTTGGTAAGGTCCACAAACCAGACATAGTGAACACCTTCTACACTAACACACTGGAAAACGGACAAGCATCTCTCTTCGAGCCATGTCCCAACCGCTGCTTTGTGAAAGAAACACATGACAGCACTGGGTCCCTCATTTGCAAGAACAGCAAAGACCACATAGGATGCACTGTGTTTCAGAGATCCAAAGACGACGACAAAATGGCACCTTCATTTGAAGACGTGGCGTTTCTGAACATCATGGAACCAGGGTTTTACAAAGATAAAGATAACAGTTGGACAGCTCCCTTACCCTTTAAGACACAGAGACGTCGCCTGCCCAACAACAAGGCTCAAGCTCTTAACCGTTTCAGATCACTCCAACGCTCCTTCAACAAGAACCCAGAGCGGAAAGAACACTTAAGAAACCTGGACAGATCAGAGCAGCCTTCAACTCAAGTGCTAAGCACGATGGTGTCTCTCTTAACAATGTCCTCCTGACTGGTCCAGATCTAAATAAAAACCTCCTAGGCGTGCTCCTTTGTTTCTGCCAGGACTCCGTTGCCTTCACCGCGGACATCCAGCAGATGTTCCACTGCTTCCTTGTCAGACCAGACCACCGAAACTTCTTACGTTTTCTGTGGTATCAAGACAACGACTTTAACAGAGACATCAAGGAATATAGAATGCGTGTGCATGTTTTTGGTAACAGTCCTTCACTGGCTGTAGCTATCTTCGGACTGAGAAGGACTGCGCAAGAGGGAGAGGAGGCCTTTGGAGGAGATGCTAGAAGATTTGTGGAGAGGAACTTCTACGTAGATGATGCATTAAAATCTCTACCTTCAGCTTCAGCTGCCATCGATCTGCTCAAAAGGACACAGCAGATGCTGGCACGCTCCAACCTCAGGCTGCATAAGATTGCGTCAAACAATGCAGAGGTTATGGCAGCCTTCCCTTCCGACGATCATGCCAGTGACCTAAAGGATCTAGATCCGGGAGCCAATGATCTCCCCATGCAGCGAAGTTTAGGTGTCAGTTGGGACCTGAAGAGCGACACATTCACATTTCAGGTGTCTGATGAACTCAAATCTTTTACTCGACGTGGAGTCTTGTCAACCATTAACAGCCTGTATGACCCCTTAGGATTCGTCGCCCCAATCTTGTTGCAGGGGAAAGCCATACTTCGGGAGTTAACAGTTGACTGCCACGACTGGGAGGCACCGCTACCTGCCGAGAAAGAGCGGCAATGGACAGCATGGAGAGAATCACTTCAAGAGCTCAGGAACCTACAGATACCTAGGTCCTATACGCAGGTCTCTCCCCCCACAGCTCTTTGCATTTTCTCGGATGCATCAGTTCAGTCAGTAGCAGCTGTGGCCTACTTAAGGATCTTTGATCAAGACAGAAGCTGCCACGTAGGCTTTGTTCTAGGCAAGGCAAAACTAGCCCCTCGGTCAGAGTTGACTATCCCACGGTTGGAACTATGTGCTGCCGTGTTAGCAGTGGACATTGCAGAGTTCATTACTGCCGAACTGGACATTCAGATAGATGACATCAGCTATTTCACGGATAGTAAGGTAGTGTTGGGATACATCTACAATTAAAAGCGACGATTTTATGTCTTTGTGAACAACAGAGTGCAGCGGATAAGAAGGTTCTCCAACCCCACACCGTGGCACTTTGTATCAACTGATAACAATCCTGCTGATCACGCAACGAGATTCATTTCAGCAGCACGCCTCAAAGACACCATGTGGCTCTCAGGTCCTGCTCTCCTGTCACAGCCCGAGCAAACGCATAATCAGCAGGACACCCTTGACTTAGTGAATCCGGAACAGGACGTAGATGTCCGCCCCCTTGTGTCTACCCTGAGCACAACTGTCAAGGAGAGACTACTCGGGTCCCAAAGGTTTTGCCGCTTCTCAAGCTGGAACTCACTCACCCGTGCCATGTCATGTCTCACCCATATAGTCCGTCTCTACAGGAAGAATACAGAGGATTCTCACGATGGCTGCAACGGATGGCATCACTGCACCCAAGATCACATGGTAGAAATGCTCACCAATCATACGTACAGTTCAAGAGGAGACTTACGCAAAAGAGTTGCAGTGCATCAGGGATCAAAGACCTCTTCCAAAGGACAGCCCCATCAGAGCCCTGAGCCCTTTCATTGACACAAACGGTCTCATTAGAGTGGGCGGACGCATCACAGAGGCTAATATAAGATGCGAGGAGAAACAACCTATAATAGTTCCTGGTCGTCACCACATTGCCACTCTTCTTGTACGCCATTATCATGAACGGACTCAACATCAGGAACATCTCTTTACAGAGGGTGCTATTCGTTCTGCCGGCTTGTGGATTGTGGGTGGAAAAAGGTGTGTGAACAGTCATATTTTCAGATGTGTCACTTGTCGTAGACTCCGCCGCACCTGCGAAACTCAGAAAATGGCTGACTTACCTGACTGTCGCCTCAACACGGATCCTCCATTTTCATACGTTGGGCTTGATGTCTTTGGACCATGGACGGTCTCTTCACGACGTACACGGGGGGGCCATGCAGACAGTAAAAGATGGGTGGTCTTGTTCTGCCGACAAAGCGTCCGTGCCATCCACATTGAAATCATCGAATCTATGGACACTTCTTCCTTCATCAATGCCATGAGAAGGTTCATCACCATTCGCGGACCGGTCAAACAACTACGCTCAGACAGGGGAACTAATTTCGTTGGAGCCTGTCATGAGCTACTGATCCCTTCCAACATCAATGGTAGAATAGAGAGGTTTCTTACGGATCAAGGTTGCGTGTGGGAGTTTAATCCCCCTCACGCCTCCTATATGGGCGGAGCCTGGGAAAGGATGATAGGGCTGACACGCAAGATCTTGGACTCAATGTTCTTACAGCTCGGGTCTTCAAAAATCACCCATGAGGTCCTCGTTACCTTGATGGCCGAAGTAACAGCCATCGTAAATTCCAGACCGCTCGTACCCGTGTCTACAGATCCAGATGACCCGTTTATACTTACCCCTGCAACTCTGTTAACACTAAAAACTGGTCCCTCTCTTGCTCCTCCAGGCAACTTTGATGGCAAAGACTTGTACAAACGTCAGTGGAGACAGGTACAAAGTCTCGCCAACACCTTCTGGGACAGATGGAGGAAACAATACCTGTCCACTCTGCAGACAAGAAGGAAGTGGCAGTCTGACAAGCCAAATCTCACTAAGGGGAGTCTAGTGCTCATCAAGGTCAATCAAGCCAAAAGAAACACATGGCCTATAGGGCGTATCGCAGAAGTGTTTCCCAGCAAGGACGGTAGAGTCCGCAAAGTGGAAGTGAAAGTAGCACATCCAGATGGGGTCAAAGTGCTCCTGAGGCCAGTTACAGAGTTGGTCCTCGTTTTACCATCCGATGACTAGATTACTACCGCCTTTTCAGAAATGTATTATTTATTAAGTAATGGTATCCAGGGACACCAGACGGGGAGTGTTCTGTATTAATTGTTGTCTCCCCCCGGTGGTACACTAAAGAAATTACAGTCACGCTCGTTCTGCGTCTTCTTTTGATGATGTCATCAGGGAGCGCTCAGTAATATCTTCCGACAGCTGTGTCTCGTATTCGTGTATCAATCTCCTTTGGAAAGTCTTTCTGCTCACGTTCATACTATAAACGATCATCGTCGGTATGTAATGTTCTTTAACGTCATCTCTCTATGCATAGGAATATTATCATGAGACGTATGTTGTTATATTGTCGTATAGATTTTCGGGGGTTTTCTTCGCCCCGCTGCGGTATAATCAGAATAGTCTGAGCTAAGTTATGTCTCAAGTAAACCTTTAAATAGTCATTTTATTGTGAAAAATAGCAATTTATTTGTAATAGTATTGTTTAAAACATGTGATCAGTCTCAATGTGAAGATTCAGTACCCATTTATGTATATCTTTGGTTTCAGTTTTACCCTACTTCTGGTCATCATTAAAGAAGTAAACGATTCACCTTCGTCCAGTGTGGTGACTAGAGGAGGAGTTAAACTGTCTGTCAGTTTACACAAAGGGTTGTAACAAGGACGGAACAGTCGCCATACCAATTATTAAGGGAAACTTAATGTCTTGCAGACCTTGGATAGATATACTGTTGATTTTGTTTGCCGTTGTTTATGTTTTCCAATTGAGCTAAGAACCCAAGTGGTTTCTTTAGGTCATCCAGAGGTGTTGTTGCGCAAAGTCAGTCGAATCTGAAAATGTACTTTTGGCTTGCATACCAAAAACTTGCAAACAAATGGATACACTTGGACTGCCAAGAAAAACTTCACATTCACACTTGTCTTTCTACTTGCATATATTTGCATCTTTTTGTATACCAACTTAATTTAGAAATTTTGGACTTCCCCAACTCCCGTGCACACAGTTGTGCACTGCCTTGCAAGGCCAGGTGGACCTAATTCAGCAATCAGCTGTAGCACTCCTGAGGCAGAACTAGAGGACAGAAAAGGAACAAGGATGCACAGCACAGAGAAACACATACAGCCGTAACGACATTTACCAGATACAAAACCTGGCTTTAGAAAGTCATAAAATATCATATTGAAACCAGGGAAGAAGCCTTTGGATTGTGCATTAAGTTCAATGTATGTAAAACCACCATTTCCCCCTCTCCTTTGCCTTTCATGTCTCTGTACAGTCCTATCAAAGCAAAATGCCAGCATTTTAAGAAATATTTTCCAATTACTTTACATTCAGATTGCACTTTAATCTTGGAGCTGTGTCTAACAGTATCCAAAATATTCTTTATGTTGACCCAATTAGGTTTCTAATGAATAGATCTGAAAATGTCTTCAATAAGGTAAATATAAACTAAACTACTTTTGTTTCAGGAGAACAATTCTTTACACTGAAATGTTTGACTTGTGTGGCTTATTTGTTGTGAGCATGGAACTGAATAAATGATCTATAAATAGTATCAGATGTGGGAATTTTGTTTTGTGGTGGTACTTTAAAAGGTCTGTGGGGCGGTGGTGGTGCAATTGATAAGACACATGCCTTTGGTGTGAGAAACACGGATTCAATCCCCCACTGTGACCCATCCACCATTGTGTCCCTGAGCAAGACACTTAACCCCTAGTTGCTCCAGAGGCGTGCAACCTCAATTGTAAGTCGCTTTGGATAAAAGCATCAGCTAAATGAATAAATGTAAATGTCTGAGTTTCCTCAAATTAAGGAAGTCTGAAACTGTCACATATAACTCTAGTACAAGATAACTCAGAATGGGTTTCTGGTCTCTATTATAGGATAAATGGATATTTATTACTCTAATGTGAACATTTGGTAATTTTTAATTATGAAAAAACAGGATTTAATATATGTTTGTTTTAGGTTTTGATTATAAGACTAAGACTCTTCAATCGAAGTATCTGTAAAATGGCATTAAAATTAATTTTTCATCACAAACCCGTAATTTTACAGGAAGTTTTCTTTTTTAACCCCATTAAAAGGTGTGAATGCCTGTCATTTAACAATAAATTAAATATTACCTTTCTGTAATTTTACCACTTTGGGGCAATTAAATACTATTTAATCTAACTTGTAATCTAAGAATTATAATAAAAAGCTGTGAAATTACAGTAATTATGGCTGTTTTCAATGATCAAAACTGTGTTTTGACAGTTTAACAATACACTATATACTGATTAAAATAACATTTATTCAATGTTTTTATTTTCCAAATAGCCATAATTAAAGGAGATATTTGTCAATTAAATACTGAATGTATTGTAACAATTTTGTTTACGTGAAAAACCCCCACAGTTTCCTTAAGATAACAGAAATGTTATGGTTATTCACAGATACAGATTTTTCATGTTATTTTACATTAGACGTGTAAATTCAGTTTATTTTTGTATTTTTTGATATTTTCATTAATTTCAAAAATACAGAAAAATCTGTGAAATAAAAAAGGAATAAAACTGTCAAAGTACAGATTTTATTTACAGAGAGTGCATACATTTCATAACGTGTCGCTACACTGAGTCTGTGGTGACTTGAATTCAAGCATGGTAAACATCTTACAAGACAATGTATGTATTCTGTACAATCCTCTTAAAGAAAGCATATAGAAACATTTAAACTGTTAACTGCCTGGTTAATGTCAGACAAATGTGCATCAATTCAAATAATTTAAGAAATAATTTAAACACTTCCATAAAATATTATTCTCAAGCAAAATCATAAAAGGAGGTCTGATCTGTGGTTGAAACATGTTCTATCAATATCTGTCACATTAATAAAAGTCCACAAAATGTCAGACCCTCTGTTCCTATTAATAAAAACAAACAGCTACTGCTGCACAGTAAGTAATTTCAAAAATAATGCTGTGAATATCCTACTGTCAGAGGAATTAAAAATGTCTATATGTAGCAATATAGCATAGCTACAGTGGGTACGGAAAGTATTCAGACCCCTTTAAATTTTTCACTCTTTGTTTCATTGCAGCCATTTTCCAAAAATCAAAAAAGTTCATTTTATTTCTCAGTAATGTACACTCAGCACCCCATCTTGACAGAAAAAAACAGAAATGTAGAAATTTTTGCAAATTTATTAAGAAAAACTGAAATATCACATGGTCATAAGTATTCAGACCCTTTGCTCAGTATTTAGTAGAAGCACCCTTTTGATCTAATACAGCCATGAGTCGTTTTGGGAAAGATGTAACAAGTTTTTCACATCTGGATTTGGGTATCCTCTGCCATTCCTCCTTGCAGATCCTCTCCAGTTCTGTCAGGTTGGATGGTAAACGTTGGTGGACAGCCATTTTCAGGTCTCTCCAGAGATGCTCAATTGGGTTTAAGTCAGGGCTCTGGCTGGGCCATTCAAGAACAGCCACGGAGTTGTTGTGAAGCCACTCCTTCGTTATTTTAGCGGTGTGCTTAGGGTCATTGTCTTGTTGGAAGGTAAACCTTCGGCCCAGTCTGAGGTCCAGAGCACTCTGGAAAAGGTTTTCGTCCAGGATATCCCTGTACTTGGCCGCATTCATCTTTCCCTCGATTGCAACCAGTCGTCCTGTCCCTGCAGCTGAAAAACACCCCCACAGCATGATGCTGCCACCACCATGCTTCACTGTTGAGTCATATTTTCAGGACAGGTGATGAGCAGTGCCTGGTTTTTTCCACACATACTGCTTAGAATTAAGGCCAAAAAGTTCTATCTTGGTCTCATCAGACCAGAGGATCTTATTTATCACCATCTTGGAGTCCTTCAGGTGTTTTTTTAGCAAACTCCATGCGGGCTTTCATGTGTCTTGCACTGAGGAGAGGCTTCTGTCTGCCCCGACTGGTGGATTGCTGCAGTGATGGTTGACTTACTACAACTTTCTCCCATCTCCCGACTGCATCTCTGGAGCTCAGCCACAGTGACCTTTGGGTTCTTCTTTACCTCTCTCACCAAGGCTCTTCTCCCCCGATAGCTCAGTTTGGCCGGACGGCCAGCTCTAGGAAGGGTTCTGGTCGTCCCAAACGTCTTCCATTTGAGGATTATGGAGGCCACTGTGCTCTTAGGAACCTTAAGTGCAGCAGAAATTTTTTTGTAACCTTGGCCAGATCTGTGCCTTGCCACAATTCTGTCTCTGAGCTCTTCAGGCAGTTCCTTTGACCTCATGACTCTCATTTGCTCTGACATGCACTGTGAGCTGTAAGGTCTTATATAGAAAGGTGTGTGGCTTTCCTAATCAAGTCCAATCAGTATAATCAAACACAGCTGGACTCAAATGAAGGTGTAGAACCATCTCAAGGATGATCAGAAGAAATAGACAGCACCTGAGTTAAATATGAGTGTCACGGCAAAGGGTCTGAATACTTATGACCATGTGATATTTCAGTTTTTTTTTTTTTATAAATTTGCAAATATTTCTACATTTCTGTTTTTTTCTGTCAAGATGGGGTGCTGAGTGTACATTACTGAGAAATAAAATGAACTTTTTTGATTTTTGGAAAATGGCTGCAATGAAACAAAGAGTGAAAAATTTTAAGGGGTCTGAATACTTTCCGTACCCACTGTATATAATAAATACAACATACAGTAGCTGCACATACACTTAATGCATTGTTTGTAAAGTATGGGTCATATACTTACTAAAAAAGATTATCCATTTAAAAATTGACTAATTGATATGAAACTATTTGGCAAAAGTATTTGGTAATTTAATAAATAAAGAATTACTTGTTTGTAAATGTTTGAACCTTATGAAGGTCCAGATTAACAAAATGGCATGCAGCATCCAACTGCCTTAAATCAGTATCTGATATTTAGCATTTAGTATAAAAGTTGATATTATTGAGAATAGAAGTTATTTTAATTTATGTGTTTAAGTATATTTTGTGAAAATGTTCTTGGAATGTTATTGGAGCAATGAAATCAAAATACTGTACATATACTGTACGTTTACTCACAAATTTTCACGATGACTCTGTCTTTTTCTAGGTTCTTTCTTCCCGGCACTGAAGCCATCAGAAACTGTGTTCAAGGTGATCTTTTGGCTGGGCTACTTCAACAGCTGCATCAATCCCATGATCTATCCCTGCTCTAGCAAAGAGTTTCAGCGGGCTTTCACTCGGCTCCTCAGGTGTCAGTGTCACCAAAGACAGAGGGTCCTGCGTCGCTTCTATGACCAGAGGTGGAGGACAGCTGTCAAGGGAATGACAAAGGATCAAAGGGGAGACTATAAGCCCGGCTATGCTGTGCATGAATGCTATGGCAACTCTTTGTTACACAAGGGGAAAGGGTGCTCGCTAGGGTTCAAGAGATGGAGCCTCTTTCCACCACTGCAAAAGTCCTCCTTCCAGCTCAAAGAGAAAGTCAACAATCTGTCAAATAAAATCAAGGGAGGAACAGGAAAAAGTTCCACACCTGCAGTTGGCCGGATTGATGTAGTAGATACAGTCTCTATGGGGATTTACAACTCCTCTGAGCAGAGCAGTTATCAATTCTATGATCTGGCAGACTGCTATGGCCTGAAAGAGACTGACATTTAGAGGGCGACCAAAGAATCCATTATTTATTTTCAAAGGGTCATATTGGACCAACATGCAAGAAAGACTAGTGCATCATTTTGTGTTCTCAAAATATCTGATAATCAAAGCTCGATTAAGCCGTGGAATGACAACGAAGGCTTGATCCCAGCACAAAGAGGACTAAAGCTTTATGTCAGTCCCTCATCCCCATCATGATTATTTAAGTTGTGAGCTGCTAAAAGCCACCTTTTGGAAGTGGACACAAAAGTAGCTAACTCCTTGTACTTAATGTGACTGCTGTCACTTGGAAGCAATGTGCATCAACATTACCCAGACCACAGTCAACAGGTGTAAGCACTTTCATTCAGACATTTAACATGAGCTTTATTATTACTGTTACACCCATTTCTTTAAATTTTATATCAGACAGTCTTCATGTCTTTAACTATTAGCCAGCTGACACTGTGTAGTAACGCCCAATGAATGGTGACTGCTTTGTCTGATATTCAGCTGACTTTAAACAACAAAAAACAGAAATGGATTGAAACAAATATTTTGAATCACTAACAGAGCAAAGTTAGTCAAAAGTGCAATTTTTATTGTTGCCAGAATGTCTGGATTTAATCATATGTAATATGTAGGAATAAATTATGTTACTTGTGCCATTTTTCTGTTTTGACAAGGCATTGTAAAGATAAGAGGCCAGCTAAGAATAAAGATGATACACAGTATTTATTCTTATTGTCAACTTGTCATTGATATGTAGACTTGTTTAAATAAAAACCCATGAGTCAACTTGTCCACCTAACTGTAATTCGCAATGCCAAGTGAGTGAGTACCAATGTGAAATGAACATGCTTTTTTTGTATTTTGTGATGTTATGTTTGTTTATGTAAGTTGAAAAACAAAATAAAAAGGAGAGAAAACAAGTTGAGACAATTACAGTAACTAATTCGATTTGGGATAAAAAAAAAACTTAATCTGCCCCATCCAGCAGATGTCACTATTGTTTCGTTTTACCTCCTTCAGCTTCTCACCATTATGTCAAATTTATGCTTTTGGCAAGCGATCATTGTTTGTTTTTATACAAAATAACAATGGAACTGATGGAAATAAATCAATATCTGCCTGTATTAAACAAGGTGAACATAATAGTGAGAATCTGCTGGCTGACAAACAAATACAAATAAAGATTTAAATAAAGGAATTAAAAGAGAGTGACAAATGGACCCACTCACGTAAGGCTAAACCTGCAGGCAATGTAGAGAAACACAAAGAAAGAGAGAGAGACTCTATCAAGACTAATTCATCTCAATTGCTTCCTGTTATTAGCCTCATTCCACCATGAGTTTACTCAAGTCTTGACGTAGGGGAAAGTCGAACAGTTGGCTTTGTAGTTTTTTAATTTGATGATTTCATGACCAAAACTCATGCAGAAAATCTTCATGAAGAAAATGACATAGATGAAAATTAACAGAAACTGTTTCTTCACTCTGTAAAGGACTGAATAAAGTTTTTTTTTACTTTTTTAAGTACAACTACTCACGTTTGGTGCCAGGACAGACATTAAAGCACCTATTACTAATTAAAACTAAGTACATGGGATGTACTCTCAAAATCCTGACATGAATAGTAGAACTATACATAAAATTATACAAAACTAACACACTACAAAATAATACATAAAACAGCTTACTACCATGGATAAAATGCTCTTTGATGTTGTCTTTAACAAATGCCCACTGAAACATTTTTTCCATTTATTCCCACTATCAACTACCAACAGACTTGAAACAACAATATAACTCCATCAGCTATTTTCTTACTCGAGTGATAAAAGTCACTGGTTCCCATTGGAATGTGTTGATAACACTTTCACAGTTTGCAGTTCACAAAGCAAAAGAGTCTGCCAAAGAGACAGCCACAGCCTTGACTCCTAATTGTGTACCGACAGCAGTGCTGCTAGTTTAACAATAATATACATTGACTATGGCTTAGAGCTAATAAACAGAGCGCAGATGAACATCTAAGTTCATCATTAGCACAGACCTGTCCTTGACTATCTTGAGCAAGAATAATTTTCTGTGCACTGGGTATCACTGTGTATTGCAGGATTGAGTTACAAGTTAAAAGAAAAGTAAAGCAATAGCAGAAAATAATAAATACTGTCTATGAATTGCTAGGGTTTCAAAAAACACCATTCTCATTGTTCACTTTAAAGCAATGTTAAACCACAAACTGAGTCATGTTTTCGTCTCTTTGTCAGTTGTCAGCAGATGTATGTAATCATGGAAACACAGGCCTTAGCTCTGTCTGAGATTGCCTGGGGTTAGACTGGCTGCCTTTTTAGGCTTTAAGCTAAACCTTTTTAGTATTTGAGCCTGAATTAGTCTGCATTTGTGTTTGTGCAACTCTAGTATTACAGTCTAAGGAGCAGACTTAGAGAAGACTGGCTTAAAAGACCAAACAAATTTCCACAGTGCTGCCTCATAAAAAACAGTGAAATAACTAAAATAACACTGTGAATGAGATTTTGGGAACCAATTAAGGTTATAGGCAATGTAGAATGAGTGGATGAGAGAGATTCTAGCTCTATCAAGACTAATACACTTCAATTACTTCCTGTTATTAGCCCCATTCCACCATGGAAATGTATTTAGCACTTTGGCAAAACTAGATACTAAAACAATATTCCCGTACAAGTAAATGTCTTTCTGAGTAAGGTTACAAATGTAGCAGAACAACTGTTGTGAGCAAAGCCTGAAAAACCCCATGTCCAAACATTGAAACACTGACTGTTGATGCTGTGTTAACACAGCAAATGTGTGAACGTTAAAAATGTGTGATTCAGTAAAAAATTATAACTACCAAACTGTGTGAGTTGGCAGGTGAAATATTACTATTTACTATACTAAATTTAATATTTAATATATATTAATAAAACTTGGTGTGGTTAAACGAGAGGTCCTAATCATACAAGCATTTCCAAAGTGAAATATTCATGAATTCAAAATTTGTGCAAGATAAAATCTATTAAATGTTCATACACCAATTAACAGCCTTTTGTGTCATCATGCAGGAAGCATTGTGTATCATTGTGCCACAATGTAATCCATACTTGCATACATGCTGGACTATGTAAGTATGTGTCAGTGCTTTTGCAGCAACGATTAGAAGAGCAACATGTTGCAAGTAAAACATTTAAAAATGGAACACATTTGGCTCTTCTGTCTGTATGTGATGCGCATTAAGTGTCATATTGCTTAAACTCTTGCAATAAAGAAGGTACAATGCGTTATGATAAAATTAAAGCACCCCGAGAGCATACCTTCCCATCCATGCACTAATTCATCCACCACCTGGCAATTAAAAACTTGAATTGTGTTACTAATTAAGTATTGATGACAGATACATTATAGTCTTGATAAAAAGCACTAATTATTGGTCCTCTGCTTATCACTCACCTTTAAAGCAACATTATGTAAGAGTATAATTCATCACATAAATAAGGAGAGCTTTACATGTGCATTTGTTACGATAACATTAGCCTTCTTACGAGAAAAAACTAGCAAGTCGACAATTCTGATGTTGCTTGAGTTGACAACTCTACAAGTCCAACAGAAAGAAGCCCAGCTCGGCATCTGTCTTGCATTCTTTAAACCTCTTTCTCTCTTTGCAGCCTCTGCCATGACATCCATGCTAAGAATACCGAGCTAGCTTCTTACAAAGAACAATCTGGTTGCTGCCGTAAACAATTACTCCACTGTCACGAAAGGTTTCTTGCTGGGGGTCCCAATATAATATTATTGCAGCAACTCATAGCTGCAATGACAGAAATGTCATTGACCCTATTATCAGTCAGTGCACCATCAAAATTATTTTGAAGCTGTTATTTTGAGATAAAATTACTACATGATGTTGCTTTAATAGCACAAAGACTTGATTGAAAAGTTCAAAAAGTTAGTTCATAATAAATATTTATGCTAGTTTTTAATATCTTAATAGTAATTTCATGAACCTTATTTCAGATTTGCAGAATGTTTTGGACTCATTAATTCCATTATTATATTACTTTACTAAAAAATTAAAGCCATCAAAATATTATACAACAGAAATAAGAAAATTAGGAAATAGTCAGTGTAATTTTTTTAAGTCCTGAGAGGCAAGTTTAGGCACTCAAATGTGCTTACCGTAGTTTTGTCATTTCTAGGGCAGACCCCAAATAGTTGAAGATTAGATGCTTCGATGGGCTGATTCAACTGTCAATCTCACAGTCGAAGCTTTGCAGCTAAACAAGGATCATGCCAATTTGGCGATATGGGGGTGCTCAACGTCTGATTTTACATCAGTTTTCTCCCAATAAGTTAATATACAGCCTATTACAATAAACATTTCAACATTTAATGCTGTAAATAAACATGTAAAAAGAATAAAACTTTCAATAAATGTTTTTTAAAGTAAATAAATCCAAAATTGTAACTCCAACCCTGGGTTGTCAGTGCACATGCGTAGGCGTAGCGCGTATGTGTGAAGTGGCAGAAGAGGGACGCTTGCTGAAGAGACGGAGCCCCAGCTTCACGGTGTTGTGCCAAGTTCTCCGCACCTTGCGGGAATTTCGGATAATTTATCATCGTTGATGAACCACAGAAGAATATTATAATATTATATCATGCATGCAGTTGTCGGCAGCATGGCATGCACGCTAAACTCTGCACAAGACCGGTGAATGACAGGTGAGAGAGAGAGGGAGAGAGAAAAGGATCAACAATAAGCCTTAGTTTAGCTGAAAATTTACAGTGTAAGTTGAAAGAACAGAGACTGCTGCTCTGCAGCTTCTCAAGATTAAAGCGGAGCTACCGTGTGTAACACCACCCCCTCAGCTCGCAATTGCCACACACACAAAACACACGATTCCACTATCATTCAACTATAGGCAGGACTTGACTATTCTGATTCGACTATGTGAATCATTAGTCGGGGACAGCCCTAGTAATTTCAGTTTATTTCCATTTCAAGTAGCAGTTTGGGGTGGGTGCCACTGAAATTATTATACATTTAGCTCAAATTTTGAGTTATCCATTAGTTTATTAGTCTCTCAAAGACTCAAAAAACTGAACTGCAAAAGGCTATATCAATACCAAATCACACAAGGCAGAAAACTGCTGCTGCACTGCTCATTTTGCAAGCATGCAACATTTCAGCTCATTTTAGCAGCTGGCCAACAGCTATCAAAATACCTGATTTTACATTATCACTGGGGTCAGAAGAACACTTTTTCTCACTGTTTAAAACATCTATATAGATGATGTTTACAGAGGTACATTAATGTGGGCCACTGTGGCTCAGGTGGTGCAGCTGGTCATCTACTGGTCCTCCTGTCCACATGGAGAACCACACGTTGGGTAAGACACTGAGTTGCACAATTACGCAATATTTTACAGTCCCCAACTCGGATAAATGGAGAGGGTTGCAAATTTATAGTCCTGGCCAAATGTAGCCTGTTCAACAACTGTTCCTCTTTCAGTTATAAAATGCACCTAGAAGACACTCTCAGGCAGTGGTTATGTAACTAGTGAAACTAGCAAACCTGACAGTAGAATTATACAGACTTACAGAACTTATACAGAAAGACTTCTGCTTTGCCTTTCATTTTATTTGACATGTTACACACTTACTTTCAAACCTGTGCTCCTTCACTCTTATCTGCAGGTTTCATCAGGATAATTTCAGTGCCCTGCAGTCATCTGAAAACTCCTGTCTAATGAAGCTCGACCTTTTTGATCCCTCTGAAAGAGTTCCAGATCATGTTATGGCACTGAGAAATGTTTTACAAGAATGTAGCATGTCTTGCTATGAATTTTAATAAATTTATGAGAATACCCAATTATTATTTAATATTCAGACAATATCAATCCATCGTTTTGCAGGGCACCACCGGAGTTGTTATTAACCTAGACCTCCAGGTAGCTTTCAATAATTATCTATAAAAGAAAAAGAAAATCTATTTGCGCGTATTATAATCAAATATTTTCCCCAATCAAACCTCAGTGGTCAAACAGTTGTACCGTTCTAAGTTTAAGCATTTGGTAACAGGAAAACAATTGTCAAATTATTGATCATGATAAATAATGAATGACATTTATACATTAACGCCATTTCCAACGATGGTATGTAATAATTATTTCGTCCACTTGGGGGAGCTCAGGTTACATGAGGAAAGCTTAGATTAATCCAAAAACAATCTTTCCTTAGGAACTGGGAAATTTAGTTATTTGGCCTTAAATTCAAGGTGGCAATTAATAGCGTGTAGTATGACATTTATCATCATTTCTAAAGGAATTGTGTGAGAAAGTATTGTGAACAAGCATTGGTTACA